TCTTTTCCCCTCCCATTTAACCATGTCCCATGTTCCCCACGCTCCCAATTTACTCAGGAGATCTTGTCTTTTTCTACTTCCCATGTAGGTTAGATCCATGTATGTCTCTCTTAGGGTTCTCATTGTTGTCCATGTTCTCTGGGATTGTGATTTGTAGGCTGGTTTTCTTTATTTTTAAAAAGCAGTTATGACGGACTGAAATCTCAAGGTCCAAATCAGGAGCAGATGGAGAGAGAGCACGAGCAAGGAACTCAGGACGGCGAGGGGTGCACCCACACACTGAGATAAATGGTGATGTTCTATCAGGAACTCACCAAGGCCAGCTGGCCCGGGTCTGAAAAAACATAGGCTAAAACCGGACTCGCTTTATTTTTAGCAGACAACGAGGACTACTGAGAACTCAAGAACAATGGCAATGGGTTTTTGATCCTACTGTACGTACTGGCTTTGGGGGAACCTAGGCAGTTTGGATGCTCACCTTAGTAGACCTGGATGGAGGTGGGTTGTCCTTCAACTTCCCACAGGGCAGGGAACCCTGATTGCTCTTTGGGCTGACGAGGGAGGGGGACTTGATCGGGAAAAGGGGAGGGAAATGGGAAGTGGTGGTGGGGAGGAGGCAGAAATATTTAATAATAAAAAACCACTTATGAGTGAGTACATGTGATAACTGTCTTTCTGGGTCTGGATTACCTCACTCAATATGATGTTTTCTAACTCCACCCATTTGAGTGCAAATTTCAAGATACAATTATTTTTTTCTGCTCTCTAGTACTCCATTGTGTAAATATAGCATATTTTCCTTATGCATTTATTAGTCGAGGGATATTTAGGTTATTTCCACATTCTGGCTATGACAAACAATGCTGCTATGAACATAGTTGAGCACATTTCCTTGTGGCACGATTGAGTATCCTTTGGATATATACTCAAAATGTTCGAAAGATTCTGAACTGTGATTCTGAGTTTCATTGTGATATTAAGGTATGGGAATTTCCACAATCTACAGGGGGACATGAGGTGTGAGAAGAGATGACTGAGGCTCTGTTCATGCATATGACATAAGACCCTACAACACTAAGTGTACTATATAGACACAGTTGAGATAGCTTAATGTTAAGAAGAGGGATTGGTCTCATAGAAGACCTAGGTATGATTTCAAGCACTTATATCATGGCTCACAACTTAGCAAAACTCAAGTTTTAGGAGATTACAACTGTAAAGGCACAAAGATTGCATATGGTGCACACATGTATATGCTAGCAACGCTGTCATATAAGTATAAATAAATATAGTGTAAGGCATGTCTGGGCATTTCAATAGTTATTTGAAAGGATTAACAACTATCAACAAAACTCCAGAGTGTGAAGTCTCAAGAAACCTAGATGTGTTTTTATTCTGTCAGTTGACTATTTTATTCAACTTTTTTTCAGACAATGTATGAGGTGAAAAGACAAATATAAAACAGTTGATGATTGTGAGAAAGACATCAATACACAGTTCCAGGCACAGCCTAGAACATTGGAAATATTTAAGGTAACATCTAAACATAAGTTTTAATATGCTCCCATAAAAAGCATGTCCTGTCTTGTCCCTACCTATATATCCAGAACTCATCCCAACAACGTCAGTTCATCACAGAGTCAGTGATTATGGACATGATACATGTTGATTGCTAGTTTTCAACAGGATCTAGAGAAGAGCAACAAAACTGAATTCCTCATTTCAGTTACTAAAGAATATCTATTACCCTCCACACAGAAGAATTTTCCTGTATTTGTCTCAAACTCTATGTAGTCCATATGTTCTAAATGGGAGAATCCAATGCCCACATTCATCGGTGCAATTTCCCACTGAAAATACATGTTCTCAAAAGAAGCTAAAAGGCGAAACCACAGGCCATTCTCACTAGGAACCCAGGTAGGTGAGTGAAGATCTGCACCTTCCCCTTTTCCCACAGACACATAACCTTAGGCTCACATTGAGCTTCGCTCGGGAACTGTACAGGGTCTCTTTTGAACTGCATAAAAACTCTGTGCAAGGGAGACTTGAGGCAGCATTCTTGCTGATAGGCTTGGCAAACCAAGTTGGGAGGAGGCAAACCTCTCCCATCAGTAGAGTGCCTTGCCAATGGTCAGTCCTTGAGAACACAGATGTGCACTGTAGTTCAAAGGCTCTGATTAGGTTGTGGTTTGTCTTCTGATGAGGTGTTTTTACATAGTATATTATAACAAGAGTTTTTCCCATAACACCGAGCTAGGGCATGGAGCTCTTGAAATTATTTGCAACCAAGTTTCTAGTCTATGAAACTATTTTCATGTATTATGGAAACCTAGCTTGAATCGTGATTTGAGTATTATAAAAAGAGCACTGGCTTTGCAATAAAGTATGCAGTTGTATCTCCTACTCTGCATCCCCTGTGTCCTGATTTCTGCGGCACTACCCAGGGTCATCCATAACCAATGAAGTTGGGGAAGGGTCTCCAAAAGGGAACATCTTCTTCAGCCTTCTCTAGCCCTTGTGCCACCTCCCAAGGGTCCCCAGGAATCTTTCCCTCCTAGCCACTCTACTTAGCTTTATCACAGTTTCAAAAGCCCAGAAGACATGCCTTGCTACCGAAAATGCTGCTGCTGCCAGGAAAGAAGGTAGACTATGTGTAGATCATTAACTCAGCACTATACCTCCTTATGAAAATACTCAGTTTTATCCGCTGTCTTATACCAGACCTCCTCTGATGTCTTCTCTTTACCTTGTATCCTCATTTCAAGAAGACTAAATGAACATATCCTGTTTGAACACTCTTCTTCCTTTCCTTGGAAACACTTCAGACTCCTAGCCTATCCATCCCCATTCCTAAGTGCCATGTCTACTGCCCAGAAACAAAATTTAACTGGAACCCTCACTATTCACACCAATCAGGTCAACAGAAAATTTCCTACCAGGTACCACACACCCATCACACTCTCCTAAAAGTCAGAGAAGAAACAGAAAGCAAGAAACAAAACAGCCACTAATCAAAGAAAAAAAAACAGACATCAGAACCTAAAAGTGCAATCTTCCTAATCCTAGATATCTAGACATCACCATAGAACACAGTGACAACCAGCCAGGACCATATGTCTCCACTAGTGCCCTGTAACACTACCACTGCAGCCTTTAAATATTCCAACATAGCAGAAGCCCTTAATATAGCCTGTATGAATATGATGGGGTTTATTTTAGCTTATGTCAGAAATTGATTTTTTTCAATTTTATTTAGATAATATTCTTTCATTTATTTTACATTTATTTTTCCCCTCCTCTCTTCTGGTCTCCTCCTTCTACCTATCTACCCAACTCCCCACCTGTTTCTCCTCCATCTCCATTCAGAAGGAGTCAGGCCTCTCATGGACTTGCACTAAACAAGTTTAGGCATGACTAAACTCTTCTCCATAAGTCCAGGCAAGACAAGGTAATTCAGCATGTAGAACATATTATCAAAAGTCAGCTAAGCATCAAGAATAGGTCCTGCTCTCACTTTTAGAAATTTAATAACAGACCAAGCTACACAACTGTCACACACATGCATGCAGAGGCCAAGTTCGGACACATGCAAGCTCTGTAACTCTTGGTATGGCATCCATTAGGCTCAGTGGACTCAGGTTGGCTATCTCTGTGGGTTCCCCCATCATGACTAACCTGGTTCAGCCAATCCATCTCTTCTCCCTTTCTTCTGTAGGACTCTCAAGATCAATGCAGTGTTTGTCTGTGGACCTCTGCATCTGCTTCCATCAGTTACTGGATAGAGTGTCTCTGAGAGCAATTAGGGTAGTCTCCAGTATAATTACAGTAGATAGCCAGTTCATGCACACTCTCTAGTATTGCTAGGAGTCTTATTTGGGGTCATTTTGTGGATTCTTGAAGATCATACTCGCACCAGGGTTCTCCCAAACTCTGTAATGGTTCCTTCTATGAAGACATCTCTTTTTTTACTCTCATCCTCCAGGCTGCCTCTAACTTACCTCATACACTCGGTCCAATCAAACAACTCCCTCCACTTCCCATCCTTCCATCTGATAATTCCCAACCCCCGAGTTACCCAGGAGAAAATTTCTATTTTCCATTCCCAGTGAAATTAATGGAATCCTCTTGGGTCTACCTTGTTACCTAGACTCTTTGGCGCTGTGGATTGAAGGTTAGTTATCCTATACTTTACTCCTAATAACCACCTATGAGTGAGCATATACCATGTTTGTCTTTCTGTGTCTGGGTTACCTCACTCAGAATGATTTTTTTTCTAGTTCCCATCCATTTGTCTACAAATCTAATTCAGTAAAACACAAACAAGTTGGAAGGAAATTAAAGAAACATTCCAAGACCAATAAATGTAAATGAAGTCAATAATTAGTAAAAGGACCCAAAGTGAAAAATATCAGTAAGTTAAAACTTTAGGAACTCAAACAGGAAAAACAGAGCTAAGATTACCATCAGAATGCATAATTCTAACTCAATTTTCACAGGTATCCAAAGAAAATTATTCAGCTTCATATTGATAAACAACAAATAACAGAATAGCTGAAATAATAATGAATGATAAAAGAACTTCTGGAAGTATCAGCATTCCTGATTTCAAGTTGTACTAAAATCCTTCACTATTAAAAAATGTTATTGGTATAAACAGAGACAAATCAATCAAATGGAATTCACTTGAAATCCTACATATAAATTTATACAGCTATGGGCACCTAGTTTTGACAAGTCAGAAAAGCATACTTGAAAAAAATATGGAATCTTCAACAAAAAGTGATGGTTCAACTGGATGTCTGCATATAGAAGAAAATAAATATATCCATACTGATCCTCCTGTACAAAACTCAAGTCCAAATTTACCAAACTTTTCAATATAAAAAGAGAAACACTGAGCATGGTAGAAGAGAAAGTGGGAAAGAGCCTCAAAATCATTGGACTGGTAGAATTTCTGGAAAGAAAACAGCAATAGCGTACATAATAGGTCCAGCAACTCATCAATAGGGCTTCATCAAACTGAAAAGCTCCTCCAAGGCAAGCTAAATAACGGGAAAATATTTTTAGCAACTCAACATCTGACAGAGGGACTAATATCCAAAATATATTGAATACTCAAGAGAATATATATATATCAAAAACCAAAGATTGTAATTTTAAATGGATCCCGAACTAACTGAATATTCTCAAAAGAAAGACTCAAATTTCTCAGAAACACTTAACAAAATGGGTTTTTTGCCTTGTCTCACTGTATATTTTATCCCTGAAGAGTGGTTGTTTCTTGGAGTCCTGTACTTTTTTGAAGGGTAATAGAGATATAGTGAATTTGGGGAAAAGTATAGGGATGGAGGATGTGAGTCTTTAGTCTCAATACTCACTGGCTGTAAAATACACACATTCACTCAGACATCAATACAAGGACTTGTAGTTTATTTTAAATCTGAATGTATATTAGAGCAAAAAAAGTCTTCCCTGACACAGTAATATTCAATAGCTAGGTCTTATTAATTAAGTGGTTTAATGGAAAATTCCAAGAGATTATGTTCAGATAAGTAGTATGTATGTCAATTCTAGGCATCTTCATTAGAAGAAACAGTAAAAGTCACTAGCTAATACATACATCTTCCATTGTATCATAATAGTTTTTTTCCCCAAAACTACAGCTTTCACTTTTAATTTAGGAAATGTTAGTTCACAAAGATGTTTTCTCCTTTAACTTTTTAAGAGAATTTCTCTCTGGTCTTAACAAAATTATGTAGCACTTAGGGATAAAGATACACCCCAGTAAGCCTGCACCAGAGGCCAAGATGGAGAAGACCTCCACAGCCACCATGACCTTGCCCTTGGTGCTATGGGATGCAGGAAGAAAGTTGACCCAGACACTGCAGAACACCAGCATGCTGAATGTCAACAACTTGGCTTCATTGAATGTGTCAATGAAAGCAAGTAGATAAATGGAAATATAATAATGGTCCTAAAATTTTATTTTTTTCAGGGGAACTAGCAAACATAAGCACAGACAAACATGAAGACACCAATGGTAAGTATTAAATATTCATATGAACATACATACACAGACTCATATTCATATATAAACACATACATAATACAGGCACATACTGTTTACACATACATACACCTGAACCCAAGAAAGGATATGAATATACAGACACACAGAGACAGACTTATGTACTCACACACAGAGAAAGAGAAACAAAAAAAAACATACACAGGCCCACACACATGTTCACAAACTCATGGATGAATATGCACAAGGAGACATACAGAGATATAAAGAGCCATGCAGGGAGACACTGTCAGAGACAAATTTATCCTCAAATGCAAAGACAGACAGAAACACATACAGAGGAACAGAAACACAGACATACTTATCTACAACACATTCACCAAAAGGCGCTCATACCCAGTAACACAAATATGCATAAGTACAAGCACAACCACAAAAACAGACAAAAAAAAACACATGGACACTTGTAGACACGTGCACTGAAAAATACCCATAGGGAGAGACACACAGAAATACACCCATAGAGAAAGACATTGACACAAGACCAATTTATTCTTACTTATACAGACAGGTAGATATGCAGATAGCTAGAAACAAATATTTAACATCCAAACAGATATACCCAGATGCACAGAGAAACACACAAATATCCACCCATACACTATAAGAACCATCTACTCACACACACGTGAGTTTTCCAGAGGCCAGAGTTGGGGCAGAATCAGTTTAGAACACCTGTGCAAATAATCCCTTACACTGATCACCACATATTTGACAATTAAGGAACAAAAGCTCATCTTTTTATCATGGAGAGAATTAATGAAGAAAACTCCTATGTTTCCAGTATTACAACAGGGGTGAAGATAGTCAGGTGCTCTATAACAGAATCATGGGTTTTCATTGAGAAATTGTGTCTCCCACCCCACAACGTTTGCTTCTGAGATTTTTCCAAACCTCTAAATTTACTTCCTCAAGAGGAAAAAAATGTTCAAAAATCTTTCCAAATGGGGAAATATATCCTAACCCACTAGAATGGGACAGCTGAGAATGTAATAAAGACTGATATAGAAAACAATGAATACTATCAAATAGAAATATCACCTTCAGGCAGTTAGGCAAGTGTACTTCCTGATTGCCCATTGGCTGAAGTAGCATCTCATGGTAGACATGGGCCATAGTATACACAGCATTGTATATGTCATAGCTGTCATCACTAAAAGCCATGTCGAATGTCTGTGCAATCAGCCATTCCAGTGAGCTGTTGGATGAGCAGTTCCTCAGTGTCTTGCACATAGAAGCCGAGATCCCACAGTTAAAGTTCATCCACTCCAGCCCTGCCAGGTATTCATCTGAGTATTTGAGAGGGTTCACTGTCTGGATAAAATTTTTAAAACCAGAAATCTCAGCATGGTGGTATGCAAATGCTAGAGTCCCATGGAACAATTCAGGCAAGAAGTCACTCTTACTTGTAGTGACATCAAACTGCGAGGTGGTGACCCAGATTCTCTGTATACCTCGAGATGTCCACATTCTAAAGCTGACAGATAGAGTACTATCTGTTTCACCATAAATGATAACAACATTTGAGGATGACGTCAAGATTTGGTTATAATACACTTCAGCTCTTGACATGTACATATGCATGTTGAGCAGAATCATGTTCACAAAGGCAAAGCAGAGCATACTTTTTTCCATCTCTGTTCTCAAATATGAGAAAAAATGGATACCCTGATCATGGTCTGAGATGGTCAATCCAACCCAGTTCCAACTGAAGTGAAGTATGAGGGAGACCATGGCCAGAGGTAGAGATGTGTCCTCAAGGGCCATTTGATACAGAAAAGGAAATTGTTCACGATCACTCAGGATAGGATGGAAGGGTCCAAAGGTAAGCTGAAGGATCTAGGAAATGGAGCAGCATAATGTAGCATGCACTGCTAAGGACTTGTTAAACACACTTTTCTGCAAAGAGTTCTAAAACACCCTCCTTCTGTTACATCTTCCCTCATCTAAACTTTAAAATGTAAATACAGAAGTCCCCTAAAGTCTCTGAATAGTAACCATGTACTACACACTTTGAAATAAGTGTAGGCTGGCCTCCTCCTCATACTTTTCTTAGCACCTTAGAATGGAACCAATGGAGACAGGGTTTCTTGCAAACCCACAACCACACAAAATCTCACCTGCGGAGGAATGTTGCTGTCCATGGCTTTTGCAACTAGAGAAGATACTACCCAGCTTGGTCCTGAAATCATAACTACACATGTCTTCAAATTTATACAGTTATAATTAGGAGTAATATCATGAGAGTTGATAGAATGTTCAAGGCATCTGTGTAATTGTGGCACAATCTTACACGAACTTGGCATAGTTTCAAATTGGAAAGACATATTTGGTAAAAGATCAGGGTCCCTGATGACTTCATCCAAGGAAAACATGAAGGCCAATACAAACTGAAAGTTTTTCTTTGGTGTTCTGTAAAATGATACAGTGTTTAATAGGACAAAGACCTACAGAAAATCATGTGCAATGAATACAAGGACTATCTGTTAGTGAATGGTATTCCCAACCACCCCTAATGTTTAAAATGAATCTTCTGTGTTGTGATGTTCAGATGACATAAGACGCTAGAAGCTTGAAAAAACTTTAAAATTTCATGAGAGCTGGGCGGTGGTGGCGCACGCCTTTAATCCCAGCACTCGGGAGGCAGAGGCAGGCGGATCTCTGTGAGTTCGAGACCAGCCTGGTCTACAGAGCTAGTTCCAGGACAGGCTCCAAGCCACAGAGAAACCCTGTCTCGAAAAACCAAAAAAAAAAAAAAATCATGAGCGTGTATCTCCAATAAAGAAGATGTGCCATCGTCATCTTTCACCGAGAACCTGGTCCATCTCTGGTTTTTCAGTAAAGAAAAGGCCACAGGCTTTGACCAAAGAGTAAACATGGTCATGATTTCATTCTTAAATTATTGAACAATAAAGATGCACATGATGTGTGAACCATTGAATTTACTGTATTTTCTGTGAAATTAACTGAATTGGCTAAGGCAGTCAAAATGTCTGATGAGTGTAAAATAGTAGGGATAAATTTGGCTCTTCTACTTACAATTATTAATAATCAGTGGACAATATACTTAACATATCCCATTCTATTCATCTTCATCTTTTTCTTTTTGTTTATTGTTTCCCTTTTTCAGGGATAAAATCTTTTTTAAGATATATTTTTAAATGTATTCAAATACCAGAGATGTATTTTGTAAAGATGTATGTCTGTATGCATCTGTGTATATGGACAGTATTAATGCACATTTAGGCCATAAATAATAAATGGATTCATGGTTTTGAATGATCCTTTGTTGTAGACTAGACTCGTCTCAAAGGCATGGTTCTATACCTGCCCCAGGTTCTGAGTGAAGAAATTAAGGGCAGTTACTTCTTTCCCAATATTGTTTGCCTATTTTATGTTTACACCACTATGCCATATATTCAGTCTGGGTGTATCTGACCCACATAAATTTTCCTCTGGAAAATATCTTCCCAGATACCTTTCCAGTTACACTAACATTGGCATCCTACTGGGATTTGTATATGCCAGTATTACATGTTTGCAAAACAGAAGACCTTAGTTGTAAACTGAATGGAAAATATTCATGGAGTTTCATGTAATAAAAATGGGGAAGTAGTCAGTTGGAAGAGAATGATATCAATTTGTGTTTCTATGTATGAGAAGAATAATAATTTCTCTTTTCTCCTAACTCACTGCTTATCGTCTGTCCATTAAATATCAAACATGCATTTTCATTTTGAATAATTCAATCTGAGTTAAATACAATCACTTCACCACTTAGAAATTGTACCACCGTGTTGTTTTTATGTATGAAAATAGGTATTTATCTATATATTTTTTAAATGAAAAATTTAGAATATTATTTATTACCACACAGAAAATATAATATTGAAAATTTCAGGAACTTGCAACAGGAATCTGAGATTAGAACTTGTGAAACTCAAACACTAAGTCCTGTAAACTAAGTATTAAGAAACATCTATGATTTGAGCCACTAAAGTGGTCTAGTGGATTGAAGTTCTGTGATTGAAAACAGCTGTTAACAATTGATAAAATCAAAATATGTAGCCGGGTGGTGGTGGCGCACGCCTTTAATCCCAGCACTCGGGAGGCAGAGGCAGGTGGATCTCTGTGAGTTCGAGACCAGCCTGGTCTACAAGAGCTAGTTCCAGGGCAGGCTCCAAAACCACAGAGAAACCCAATCTCGAAAAAAAAAATCGAAATATGTATATTTCAAAAGTTGGTAAAATGGGCATAAATTAATTAATAAAAGGACTTACAAAAAACAAGAGAGGTCAGTGTGATTTGAGGGTAGAGAATAAACAACTTAGACATGGAAGGAAAAGACACATGCCTCTTATATAATGGCAGAGGTGAAGCTGGTAGGTACCTCCTCTATCCCTGTTGTATGGTAGTGACAACTATCAAATGCCACAGCTATCACTAAAGCAAGTGACAGCAGAAGTGAGCAGTCACCACTATTAGTGACAGCTTCGCTTTTCAAAGAATGCAAACCTAGCATTTACATTCTATACATTCCTTCTTTACGCTAATGTTTGAGTGAAGAAATGGACTTTGAAATTGAAGCCCAGTGGTTGTGCAGGTATATATGTGAACTATCGAGAAAAGGAACTCATAGGAAGTTCAGAGTGGACAGGTCTCCTACTTCCAATCTTAATGCACCTTTAAAAGTTTTAGTGTGACCACATGCAGAATATCTGAGAGAGTAACTGAAACTCTATGCGCAAACTCTCCACAGCTAGCAGTACCACAAATGTTAGTTGTCCTAGCAATGAACATAGGACCCACACATTGATGGAATATCCATCAGGTGAGTATGTGGCCATTACCTCTACCCACTTAAGATGACATTCATTGAAACAGAATGGGCTTTCTTTTGATGAGGCATCACCTGCTACTGTGCTGTGGAAACTGCGTAGAGGCAGGCTATATATAACGGAAAAGGTATAGAGTCCTTTTTCACACAGCACCCAGTCTGGTAATTTGGAGGGTGTCTGGGAGAAAAATAGAACATTCTCTGGAAAAATTGAAAGTAGAAAAATAATGTATAGTCTCTAAAAAAAATGTGGTGTTATTTATTTTTGTGCAGGTTGGGAGAAGGGGGCAGAAGATTCAAGGCATTGTTCAGATGTTCATCCACTAGACACCTCATGGAATATCCATGATGACATTTACATAGAAAATACAAAGGCACTTACTCTTCATGCAAAATGCCTTCCAAATACTCCACAGCATCTGTTCTATTTGTTGGACTAGTAAGGAAGGCATGATATGTTAATGAGACTCCATCGTTCTCTTCATTCTGCTTCATTCTCCAGAAGCACCTGGGATGAATGAAACTGGGCTCCTGAGGTAAAATGTTCTGGAGCAAGAAGAACAAAACCAAAGTAAGCATGTTTTTCTGCTCTAAGCCTGGGCAGTTGAATTATGAACTTCCATGCAGATCAGCACATCCAGTCGGCACCTGGTTATCATCACCTGCTTTTATTTCTGTGGCCATATGAGAAGCTACTTATGCATTCATGAATCCTTTCTTTTCGTGTGAGTGCAGTTGTTTTCTTATCCATTGAGAAAACTTTGGCACTCTCTTCCCTGAGGCTCTGCATCTGATTTCCAAAAAACATGTGATGAAATTTGGTTTATAAAAAGATACAAGGACAGTTATGCTAGTTTCATGACATCACTCACTCATTTTTGTGGAAATTATGCCCCTGGGAAGATGCCAGTTTGAGAAAATTTGTTCCCGTGGTTACAATATCAACTTGTTTATGTTAACACCTTTAGAAATGATGTCAGTGGATTTTGTTGGATGATCCACAGTGAGACATGCATCATTGGTTCAGTAGGACTCACAAAGTCAGAATTCATGGCTCTGCCCTGGGAATTGTTTCACCGAGTCCATGTCAGGGAAAAGCAATTATTTAGAGCAATTGAGCACCACACAGCACACACAGTGGGGCCTATTCTATACAAGTGACAGGTTCAAAATAGCTAACCAAAGCCTATGCTTCCAGTGTCTTGAAAACCAGTAATCAGGCCTAACCCAGAAATTTTCTGCATCCGACTGCTCCAAAACCACCCAGTTCCTCAAAGAACCACAGTTCATTTCCATGTTGAATGCTGATTTTCAAGTATTCAAAAGACTCAGAAAGAAAACCAGACCTGTGTACCTCCTTACTAATACCACACAAGACCTGTCACTCCTCCTCCCAGCCAATCATTTTTTTTAGGTTCATTTTTTTTTGCTTTTTCTTTTTTTTTTTATTGAGAAAAGGAAAAAAAAAGTACCTGCCTCCTCCCAGCCTCCCATTTCCCTCCCCCTCCTCCCACCCTTCTCCCCCTCCCCCAAACTCCTCTCCCCCTCCCTCTCTAGTCCAAAGAGCAATCAGGGATCCCTGCCCTGTGGAAAGTCCAAGGTCTGCCCCCCTCCGTCCATGTCTAGGAAGGTGAACAACCAAACTGGCTAGGCTCCCACAAAGCCAGAACATGAAGTAGGGTCAAAACCCCGTGCCATTGTCCTTGGCTTCTCATCAGCCCTCATTGTTCGCCATGTTCAGAGAGTCCGGTTTTATCCCATGCTTTTTCAGTCACAGTCCAGCTGGCCTTGGTGAGCTCCCAATAGATCCGCCCCATTGTCTCAGTGGGTGGGTGCACCCCTAGTGGTCCTGACTTCCTTGCTCATGTTCTCCCTCCTTCTGCTCCTCATTGGGACCTTGGGAGCTCAGTCCAGTGCTACAGTGTGGGTCTCTGTCTCTATCTCAATCCATCACCAGATGAAGGTTCTATGGTGATATGCAAGATATTCATCAGTATTGCTATAGGATAGGGTCATTTCAGGTTCCCTATCCTCAGCTGCCCCAGGGACTACTGGGGACATCACCATGGGCTCCTGGGAGCCACTCTAGAGTCAAGTCTCTTGCCAACCCTAAGGTGGCTCCCTTAACTAAGAATTGTGCTTCCGTGCTCCCCGTCCAACCTTCATTTATCCCAATCCTCCTGTTTCCCCCACGTTCCCACCTCCTTCCCTTCTCACTTTTCTCTCCCCATTTCCCCTTACCCCAATCCCACCCCACCCCCACAATCCCAATTTTCTCCCTGGCAATTTTGTCTACTTCCCATAGCCAAGAGGATAACTATATGTTTTTCCTTGGGTTCACCTTCTTATTTAGCTTCTTTAGGTTCACCAATTGTAGTCTCCGTGACCCTTGTTTATGGCTAGAAACCAATTATGAGTGAGTACATCCCATGTTCATCTTTTTGGGTCTGGGATACCTCACTCAGGATAGTGTTTTCTATTTCCATCCATTTGCATGCAAAATTCGAGAAGTCATTGTTTTTTACCGCAGCGTAGTACTCTAATGTGTAGATATTCCATACTTTCTTCATCCATTCTTCCATTGAAGGGCATCTAGGTTGTTTCCAGGTTCTGGCTATTACAAATAATACTGCTATGAACATAGTTGAACAAATGCTTTTGTCATATGATAGGGCATCTCTTCGGTATATTCCCAAGAGTGGTATTGCTGTGTCCAGGGGTAGGTTGATCCCAAATTTCCTGAGAAACCGAAACACTGATTTCCACAGTGGTTGCACAAGATTGCATTCCCACCAGCAATGGATGAGGGTACCCCTTCCTCCACAGCCTGTCCAGCAAAGGCTATCCTTGGTGTTTTTGACTTTAGCCATTCTGATAGGTGTAAGATGATATCTCAAAGTTGTTTTGATTTGCATTTCCCTGATCGCTAAGGAGGTTGAGCATGACCTTAAGTGTCTTTTGGCCTTTTGAACTTCTGTTGAGAATTCTCTGTTCAGTTCAGTGCCCCATTTTTTAATTGGGTTAATTAGCATTTTAATGTCTAGTTTTTTGAGTTCTCTATATATTTTGGAGATCAGACCTTTGTCTGTTGCGTGGTTGGTGAAGATCTTCTCCCAGTCAGTAGGTTGCCTTTGTGTCTTAGTGACAGTGTCCTTTGCTTTACAGAAGCTTCTCAGTTTTAGTAGGTCCCATTTATTCAATGTTGCCCTTAATGTCTGTGCTGCTGGGGTTACACATAGGAAGCGATCTCCTGTGCCCATCTGTTGTAGGGTACTTCCCACTTTCTCTTCTATCCTTCTCAGTGTGTTCGGGCTGATATTGAGGTCTTTAATCCATTTGGACTTGAGTTTTGTGCATGGTGATAGATATAGATCTATTTTCATTCTTCTACAGATTGACATCCAGTTGTGCCAGCACCATTTGTTGAAGATGCTTTCTTTCTTCCATTGTATACTTTTAGCTCCTTTATCAAAAATGAGGTATTCATAGGTTTGTGGGTTAAAATCCGGGTTTTCTATACAATTCCATTGGTCGACTTCTCTGTTTTTATGCCAGTACCACACTGTTTTCATCACTGTAGCTCTGTAAGAGAGTTTGAAGTCAGGGATGGTAATGCCTCCAGAAGATCCTTTTCTGTATAGGATTGTTTTGGCTATCCTGGGTTTTTTGTTTTTCCATATAAAGTTGATTATTGTCCTCTCCAGATCTGTGAAGAATTTTGATGGGATCTTGATGGGGATTGCATTGAATCTATAAATTGCCTTAGGTAGAATTGCCATTTTTACTATGTTGATCCTCCCAATCCAAGAGCAAGGGGGGTCCTTCCATTTTCTGGTATCCTCTTCAGTTTCTTTCTTCAATGCCTTATAGTTCTTGTCAAATAGATCTTTCACCTCCTTGGTTCAATTTACCCCAAGATATTTTATGTTGTTTGTGGCTATCGCGAAAGGTGAAGCTTCTCTGATTTCCCTCTCTGCTTCCATATCCTTTGTGTATAAGAGGGCGACTGATTTTTTGGAGTTGATCTTGTATCCTGCCACATTACTAAAGCTGTTTATCAGCTGTAAAAGTTCTTTGGTGGAGTTTTGGGGGTCGCTTATGTACACTATCATATCATCTGCAAATAACGAAAATTTCACTTCTTCCTATCCAATTCGAATCCCCTTGATCCCCTTATGTTGTCTTATTGCTATTGCTAGAACTTCAAGCACTATATTGAAGAGGTATGGCGAGAGTGGACAGCCTTGTCGTGTTCCTGAGTTTAGCGGGATGGCTTTGAGTTTCTCTCCGTTTAATTTGATGTTAGCTGTCGGCTTGCTGTATATAGCTTTTATTATATTTAGGTATGACCCTTGTATCCCTAATCGCTCAAATACTTTTATCATAAAGGGATGTTGAATTTTGTCAAATGCTTTTTCAGCATCTAATGAAATGATCATATGGTTTTTTTCTTTCAGTTTATTTATATGATGGATTACATTGATAGATTTTCGTATGTTGAACCAGCCCTGCATCTCTGGGATGAAACCTACTTGATCATAATGGATAATTTTCCTAATGTGTTCTTGGATTCGGTTTGCCAGTATTTTGTTGAGGATTTTTGCGTCGATGTTCATGAGTGAGATTGGCCTGTAATTCTCTTTCCTGGTTGAGTCTTTGTGTGGTTTTGGTATCAGAGTAACTGTAGCTTCATAAAAGGAATTAGGTAATGACCCTTCTGTTTCTATATTGTGGAATACATTAAGGAGTATAGGTATTAGCTCTTCTTGGAAGTTCTGGTAGAATTCTGCATTGAAACCATCTGTTCCTGGGCTTTTTTTGGTATGGAGGTTTTTGATAACCTCTTCTAATTCTTCGCGACTAACAGGTCTATTTAGATTGTTCACCTGGTCCTGGTTTAACTTTGGTATATGGTATTTATCTAAAAAAGTGTCCATTTCCTTTACATTTTCCAGTTTTGTGTTATACAGGCTTTTATAGTAAGATCTAATGATTCTCTGAATTTCCTCTGTGGTTATGTCCCCCTTTTCATTTCTGATCTTATTAATTTGCGTATTCTCTCTCTGCCATTTGATTCGTTTGGATAGGGGTTTGTCAATCTTGTTGATTTTCTCTAGGAACCATCTTTTTGTTTCATTGATTCTTTGGATTGTTTTCTGTGTTTCTATTTTGTTGATTTCAGCCCTCAGTTTGATTATTTCCAGTCTTCTACTCCTCCTAGGTGAGTCTGCTTCTTTTTTTGCAAGAGCTTTCAGGTGGGCTGTTAAATCTCCAATATGTGCTTTCTCTGTTTTCTTTAAGTGGGCACTTAGTGCGATGAACTTTCCTCTTAGCACTGCTTTCATAGTGTCCCATAAGTTCGAGTATGTTGTTTCTTTATTTTCATTGAATTCAAGGAAGACTTTAATTTCTTTCTTTATTTTTTCTTTGATCCAGGTGTGGTTCAGTAGTTGACTGTTCAGTTTCCATGAGTTTGTAGGCTTTCTGGGGGTAGCATTGTTGTTGAATTCTAACTTTAATCCATGGTGATCTGATAAGACACAGGT